ACAAATTATGACATATATATTAAGAATTTTAAATAGATTATAAACACAAAATATTTATAAACCACGTCTGCTCGGCAAAACAGTTTTTCTTTCTTCTGACTAATGTGAAACATTTTTCGAACGTCGCCACTGCCGCTAAGATTCCCCCATGGCAATGAATGATCGAGACGTTTCCAATAGGATCCCACTGGCTAGGTATTGTGTAGAGCTAATGACAATGTATTTGATATAGGAAAAATTTAATGAGAGCAAATACTCTGAAATTATGGTTCTATCAAAGAAAAATCATGGTAATGTTAATTGTATATTAATTTTTTCTTTTCACTTTCTCTCTGGACAGTTCTAATTCAAGCCGTTTGTGTCTCAGGAATCAATTTTGGGAATTAACCTAAAGAACTACAAAGCAGGTAGGTTTGTTGACATAACTCAGTGCCTTTGTCTGACGTTATGACACCAGGACCGCTTGTTCTTCCCTAGTAAGGGTGTGGAAAGAAGATTCGTTAGGAATGGGGGTGTACCAGAGGTGGTTTAGGGTGGATTTCCAGAGAGAGGTTTGTTTGTGGATGGAAGAAATTTCAGAATAGGTGAGTTGGGAGTTTTCAGGCTGGCCCTTACAGCCTTCTTTAGCCAACTGGTCAGCCATCTCCTTGCCGTCTTTGTTAACGTGAGATCCATTGGAACGTGATCTGGCTTTCCTGTGAGAATTTTTTTGAGGACTTTGATTATTTTTGTTGTTGGCAGAATCCATATCTTTTATGATTTTGAAATCTACTACCATAAATAAATGCGCAAAAAAACTGACAACCAAGTTTTTAATCACACATAAGTTTTTACCTATTTCTCCACTTATATTATATGTATATATATTTCTTATATGTATATATATTTCTCCACTTATATGTAACTGTAATATATTGTCACTGAATATTTATTTTAAATATTCTGTTGTTTATCATCATAAATATTTGCCTAGTCATCACCCCTTACCATGCTTGTAAATTACCACTTGAAAAATCCTTTGACACATTTTGCAATATATAAGTTTAATTAATTAATTATTTATTTTTAATTAAGCTTTTGGAATACTTGTCTTCTCTACCATGACAATATAACAGTTGATTTATAGTCCCAAAACATTTTTATTTTGCGCCATAAATTTCCAATACAAATATTACCTTGGATAATTTTTTAAATTCATATTATCGTTTATATATTTCCATATTCCCGATTAGAATGAAATAATTTTAATTTTTTTTTACTGGTATCTCTTCATATAATAGTTAGAAAAACAAAAATATATATATATGTGATATTGGACACATATTAATAAATCATAACAGTGTAATATACCTTGTAATTTGTATGAATTATTCTGTTTTTGTATATTTTTGTTGGAATTTTGAGTGATATTTAAAAAAAAAAAGGATAAAAAAGGAGAAATTGGTAAATTGAAAATAAGTTTTTTCTATTTCAAAGAATAAAGTTAGATTAATAATTTTATATTTTTTCTTTTAGTAAAAAAATAAAGGAAATCTAAAACAAACAGAAAATTAATACCTTTCTTAAATTTTGAAAGTTTTCTAGCAAAGCAGTTTTTTAATTCCAAAGTGTTTTGAGATAGGAACTTCGTATTTCTTTCTCCTTTTTTTGGTAAAAATACAATCGCTGAAAAAAATATTGTCTCAACTTCCATCAATTTCCGAGTTAAAATCTTACAGACAGAAATACATCGTATTTATATAGACAATTATTAAATACATATAGCATAATATGTAAATATATGAAGGCTCAAAACAAATTATTTGGTTTTGCTTTTGTTTTTCCACAATGTATCTAATTGTCACAATTTTACTAGAGTTAATACATATTTAATATATTACAATATATTTCTATAGTCCTAGGACATCATTTAAAAATATCTCAATAAAAGATTTCGTTATTTTATAAATAATAACCT